AGTCGGCTGGACTAAAAAAGTCCCCGCTCGACCGCTGGACACCTCCTGCCTCCCGGCGTGCCAGGGTGAGGCACTCGGAACCTTACACCCGCAAAAGTCGGAAACTCCTTCTGCTGCACCAGGTGAGACCCTCAGCTCCACTACAACAGCAACTCCTGAAAATTTGGGTACACCCCTCAGCACAGTGTACATTGCACGTTCACTCCCCTTTATCCAAGTGTGGACGACCCATAGTCGACACTACAACTTGGTGGGAATGGTGATATTTGGGCGACAAATCTCCGTCAGCAGAGGATCCGTATGTTGCCTGACGTTTAACTAAAATCCAGCTTCTTCCAGTCGTTTTACTTCAACCGCTTCTTCTTTTGATGGTTTGACGCTTGCAGCGCCCCAACGAAAAACACTTAATATACACCCTTAGGTGGTGGCCTCCGTTTCCGTTGATCGTGGGGGTATGAACGTTGCTCCACAAAAACGCCTCCCCAACTCAGGAAGTCGCTGAAAATCTTTACAGTAAGAACATCTTCAACCTCCAAATGAGACAGCCCATGCAGAACCGCGCCAAGGTAGTTGGCCTCGTGCTGCAACTAGCCTGTCGGAAACGCTGACTCCAGCGATGCAACTGCACTTCACCATGCAGCTACATGGCACGACAGACGCACATCGCCATACATCCCGCCACTTTTGTCCATTCGCGCGCTCTTGACGACCATCACCCGGTCGCCCGAGGATTCCTCTACACTTAGTCTTCTCCTGAAAACTCCTCCCAATTTTCGGAAACCAATCCGAAAACGTCGTTAGAACCTATGGAAAGTTATGAAACACTAACGAATATATCTGAAAACTTCGGCGAAAACGTTGCCATCTCTTCGATGGAAAATAGTTCCGTCTACGCCCGGGGAAGGGGAGGACTGGCTAATCCCAACCGTCCATCGGACAGGATCCGGCGACATCGGAAGCGCTACGCCACCAGCATCCTTCCGCCCCCTTCCCTGATAGGGACTGCTTCCCTATCAGAACCTAGATGGGCAGAATCGTAGCTCTAATACCAGCTGTTATAAAGTATAACTCAGAGTATAGCGCATAATACTATAGGGGAGCGTGACTACAAATCCTTTAATACAAATGGGTCCTAGGGCTTATATACCTCGAGAGTTGGACCAATCAAGGGCTTGGTAGTCCCGAGGGTGACGGGGTCAAATTGGGTTCGGGGCGCCTCGTTATCACGTTCGGGGTCGATGAGGTCAGCGGGGTTGGTTTGACGCGAGAATTGAGGGCCGAGGCTGCGGACGCGCACTGTTCGCTGTACTCGCTGTGGCAAAACCCGGTAAGGATTCGTGAAATCCTTACAAGTACTATTTCAGCAAAACTTGTAACATTAGTGATTTCTCATAAAATTGTAGCTCAAACATCATCTCAACAAACCCATCTCCAATAAAATGGAGGCATCCTCTAGAATCATGAGTAGGGGATCATGAATTCAAGTTTCAAATCGTCGATAATATAGTTAATTATGTCGGGGATCATAATTGCATTGTAAACATTGTGAAAGTTAGCTTAGGTCCTCTTGAAAGGCAGCATGCTTCATTTCATATGGGCAATCATGCATGTTCTTGTCCAATACGAATCTACGCACACAAGTAGGGCGGGTAGATGTGGAAACTCAAATGAGCGAACTAAAATTGAAGAAGGTGGGTGATGCCAGAAGGCCTCACGTTCCACTTTTGTGATCAGCAGTGGTTGGGGAGCGCTTTGCCGCTGCCTTCGTTGCGTTGGCCCTCTCTAAACTTTCACAATACACTTTTTTAAGCGTTATACGCATTAAAAAAAATACATATTGTGAAAGATTGCTTTGTTCCTCTTAAAAGGCGACGTGCTTCATTTCATATGGGTCCTCTGAGGCATGTGGAGGGTGGGATGGTGGTGACGCTCGATGGACAGCTGGTGGTCGTTGGGCGACGAGGCGACAGCTGCATTTTGGAGTTGCGTTGAGGTTGCGAGGAGGTGGTCTTGTGCAATTGTGACATAAATCTCCTTAGAATTGTCGCTGCGCCAACGGCCGAGCCATTTGAGTCTGTCGGGAATCCCCAAGCTAGTTGCTGCTGTCGTTGCACCCTTGCGGAATGATTGTGTGCCAAGATGAACAGGGTCGAGGCCTGCCGCAATGAAGGCTTCGATGCACTAGTTTTAGATTGTGGTATATGTCGGTGCGGTGTCTCGTGGGGTGGCCTTGCCGTTGTTCCCAAAGACGCGGATCGGAGGTCTGTGTGGAGTAGCTGTGTGCCCCGCGAGATCAATAAAATGTCGAGTGTAGCTTACGGAACAGAAGGGCCCGGTTGAGGCAGCGACAGGAACCCATGTGCCCTTGCTTTCTTGGTCTGTCTTGGAGTGTGGAATCAACAGCCACATCGCATCGTGCTCGAATTGGATGTCATTCCACTGGATGCTGACGAGGTCGGAGTAGCACAAGAATGCTGCGAACATGAGCAGGGGAATCAGGCCATTTTTATATGCGGCTAAATTGGTCGAGTCGAGGAAGGGGCGAGCCATGGTAGGACTTGGTGCAACGACAAGGGCTCCTTGTTCTTCGTGGGACGCGCACCATGACGCTTGGCGAATTCGCGTACTTGCAGTGTAAAAGGGCCAGTCGTAGGAGAGGATTCGCCAGTCATCCGGTGTGTGAATGCGACGGCGGAGCATGTGAGTGATATGGGCGGAGACGGTTGCTTGGTGATTGAGGGCGTGGACGAGGTGAGAGACAGGGTCGTGTCCGTGGTTGAATTGCATACAAAAGGAGCAAAATTTTTGCCAATACGGGTCATAAGTTCTTATTGTGGAGGGCGCGTGTACGTGTGTTGTTATGCGAAGCAGTTGTCCATGTAGCTTTGACAGGATGCCTGAAACATATACGCCATGCATAAAGAAGTTATATTTTATATGACACATGCAAGGCAATCATCTGGCTATGAGGTATTCCATGACCAGCGAAAGCGAGTGAATGTGTATCGGGGCGAAGACATTGTGTGCCGTGAATGAGTGGGATGTAAGCCACCACCTCCGGCACACATACACGAGGTACATGCTGGAGTAGTGGCCACCAGGATGCTCCGGGCCATTCAAGGATGACCAAGGTCAGCTCAGCCTATGTGCGATGAGCGTGTCTCAGGACAACTGGAATTAAGTGGGGCGGAGGAGATGCAAAACCGTGCTCGTGATGCCAATTGAGCGGAAAAATAAATAAATATATATATATACATATATATATATATATATATATATATATCAATTGTCGTTGTCGTAGGGTGAGGGATCTTGGAGCAAAACTTCTCTAGTTGAGCGTTGCGCACGTTTGCAAAAGGTCAATGGGGTGGGGTCCGAGTCGACGGTCCAAGAGCCGAAACCAGGGGGCTTGGAGTGAATAGTCGTCGTAGTCTTGGTTTTTGGAGAGCTCGTCAGCGTGTGCGTTCAATTCCCTTGGGATCCATTCGATGGCGATTTGTTTCCGGTTCTCCAAGCACAAGTTGATGATTGCTTTGCACAACACCGTGAGCGTGGTCTGACGAGAGCCCCCCTTGCGAAGGACAAACATCACCCCTTGGTTGAAGACACGAACTAACACATGGAGGTTGGAGAGGTATGTGCTAAATGTCTGGAGCGACCACATGACGCCTTCGAGCACCCTTCGACTGCTGCAAAGGTGGGCAAGAGATTTTTGGGCATGCGGTCACTCACTTCAATGGGCGTGAACGGGAGTTGCATGAGTGTGGTGCCCCAACTGTGGGCGCTTGTGTCGACGTGGATGATGGCGTCGAAATGATTGCTGAGATGGAGTGGGGCGCCGTTGAACAGGTCGAACTGCGAGAGCCAGAAATGCAGCTCCTCAAATGCGACTGGGACAGCTGAGTCTTGCCATCCGCGATGAGTCTTAGGAGCTCGTGGCTGAAGGCTCGTGCTGTCGCGCCCTATAGAGGCCAATATGCCAATGAATTGCGCGAGGGAGTGATTGCCGGCCTGATTGGCCTTGTGAAATGAGGTCGTTGAGTGTGGCTAAGAGCTGCGCCCTTCGTTCATGTCCAATAGAGAACGTGCCGCGGGCAACATCAATCTCCCCGCTGAGGAAATGGATTTAGCGTGTCGGGTGGAGATGTGATTTCCTTCTATTGATAAAAAACCCAGCAGCCTTCAAGTCTTGTACGACTGCCGCACAGGCTAAACGTGCATGCATTTAAGAGTTGCAGAGAAATAGTAGGTCGTTGACGTACAGGACGACTCACAAATCGCTCGCCCTCCATTGTTTTGCAAGCTGTTTGATCATCTGGATGAATATGAACGGGGTCGTAGCGAGGCCAAACGGCAGCGATCGGAAGGAGTAGTATGCGCCTTCAAATTGGAAGCCCAAAAACTTCCTGCAGGAATGATGCATCTCTCGACGTGGTGATAACTGGATTTAAGATCGATTGAGAACATCCGGTCGCCCAGGCGAATGAGCTCGGCGACCCGATTCAAGCCTTCGTACTTGAATTGGGGAATCTCGATATAGGCGTTTACTTTACGCAGGTCGAGGATGAGGCGGCATTTGTCTCGCTGCTCCACTACGTTCAATGGACTGACACATGCGAGCATGTCTCGTGTGTGGACTGCCACGGCAGAGCTCGTGGTGAAGAGGTCTTGGATCGCGCCGCGAGTGAAGGCGAGGTGCGTATGAATGCCGGCATGAGTTCTCTCTTCGAAGGGCGTTGCCAGTGTGTTCTTCCAAGGTAACCAATAGTTTCTCACGAGTATCGAGAAGATGAAACTGATGTCACACCACAAGCACCACCTGTGCAAATCGTGGCGCAGTCGACTGCACATTCTTGTCACATCCTTGTCCGTGATGGCATACTCGTAGGGATCGTGCTCCTCCCTTGGCCATCTGTTTACGAGACTTGTCAAGTCAAGGATCGTGGGAGAGAGGAGAATCTCAATAAGTTGTTGGTCATGGTCTGAGCACACCGTGACATCTCATGTAATGGGAATCGTGTTGAGGCATCATGTTGATCGAATATCCCATGGCCATGTGTCTATGCCTTGTCTCATCGAGGATGTCCCCTCTCTTTTCCTCCATGCTTTCCTCCTCATGCTCTCTCTCTCTCTCTCTCTCTCTCTCTCTCTCTCTCTCTCTCTCTCTCTCTCTCTCTCTCTCTCTCTCTCTCTCTCCCTCTTTCTCTCTTTCGTTCTCCATTGCAGATTTCCATTCCCTGATTTCTTCTTCTCCTCCTCCTCCTCTCTCTTTCTCTCTCTCACTCTCTCTCTCTCTCTTTCCTTCTTTCTCTCTCTCTCTCTCTCTCTCTCTCTCTCTCTCTCTCTCTCTCTCTCTCTCTCTCTCTCTCTCTCTCTCTCTCTCTCCTCTCTCTCTCTCTCTCTCTCTCTCTCTCTCTCTCCTCTCTCTTGCTCTCTCTCTCTCTCTCTCTCCCTCTCTCTCTCTCTCTCTCTCTCTCTCTCTCTCTCTCTCTCTCTCTCTCTCTCGCTCTCTCTTTGTATCTCTCTCCTCCTCTCCCTCTCTCCCTCCCTTGGTTTCCCTCTCCCTCTCTTGCTGCCCATGCCTTGAGCGCCGGACAATTGCTCGTCTGCTGTGTCGCACGCTTGCAAGTTCTCGAGTGCCTTCTCAGGGAAAGGGAGTGGAGGGATTGGATGTTCCTTGGCTTTCCAAGCACCTTAGAACCATGTTTTTTTGTTTTTTTTTAGGCAAAAATCAGATTGTCGTGGCAGCATACAAGGTCCATACATGGTTACACCATAGTCCTAGGCACACGGCCTACTCATCCCCTAGGGCTACACTAGCCTGCTAGGTACATTTGCTTTACTCCAAGGTTGGCCACCATCCATGCACCCCCGGTTCAGCCCAATATGCTTCTTGCATATTGGCTAAGGGCACCGCCCTTGAGAAAACCCCACTCACACTACCGGTGAGGGACCTCGTGCACCGCGCCCGCCCATAGGGCATGCATTTGCCATGTGGCCAGGTTGGCCACAACGGAAACACACGCCCTTGAAGTGTGACAGCTGGCATGTGAGGGGGGGGGGGAGGCCTTGATGCACCTTCCCGTCGCGGCCACGAGGGGGGACCATCTGGCTAGCGGGCAGCGCGGCGCAGCTCGGCGTGTAAACTTCGGCTGACTGCACGCGCGGCTGCCGCCGAGAGTTGCGCCCAGCAGGATTTCAACGGCCGAAGGGCCCTCGCTAAAATTGTCCTCAGCTGGACGTTTTTTGCGACGGTCGGTTGCCCTGTCCGAAGTTCCGGGGTCGCCGGCATTCACGGGGGTATAGGGGTTGTTTGCCGAGCGTGTCGGAGCGGGGTTGGCGGAAGCTATTGTCACTATGTTTCGGTGGAGAATACCTATCGGTCGACAATGTTGTCCGGGCCTTGAAGCGGGGGAGCGACTGGATTTTCGCCAGCTTGAAGGAGAACTAAGAACTTGAGGCTCAAATGAGGGAAACTCAAATGAGCGAACTAGAAATGAAGTATGTGGGTGGGGCCAAATGGTCTCACGTCCCACTTTTGTAATCAAAATTGGTTCGGGACCCCTTTGTCGCTGCCTTTGCTACGTTGGCAATCGCTACACTTTCACAATACACATTTTTTAAAAGCATTACACACTTTTAAAAAAAGTGCAATGTTTAAAGAACGGCTTTTGGAATGGCAAATATAATAAATTGGTAAAATTCATAAATTTATTGTGCATACCAAATATTGCATTGTTATCAGTTGTGCTTTTATTCGTTCTTGTGTATCATCGTCCGTGTTCTTACCATGGTACCATCATGCTTTCCCATCTATTGCTAGTATGTTAGTTTGCTCGAACACGCTGGCGTAATCAGCATTTAATGTAAGACCCACACTCTGTGTTACGGGTGGAAACCCAGAGTAGCACGAAAGTGAATATCGAGATTCGAAATCACAGAATTACAGATTGTCCATACAATAAATGACGAGGCTAGATATTGGAACACCAGAGCGAATCCCAATCGGTGCTGCACAAGTTCGAAGAAGGCATCCAAGGACGCGGAATGGTACGGTGACGGAACTAGGACCTAGCCCGGTGCTGTGTATGTTAGGTGTACGCGCTAGCAGTGCGCCTCGGTAAGGAAATGCTAGCTCCTTACCCTCTCCCCCCTTCTAGTGACACCACTACTGTTGAGAATCTCCAGCTTCTTCAAGGAGATCCATCCGACGGTCAAAACACGTCGAAACGCTCGTAGTCGATCGCAGCCGTCGAACTTGGTCGAATTACCCTGACAACAAAACGTTCTGTAGGGGAAATCTCCTTAGCTCAGAAAAGGCATTCTTTCAGGTCATCAATTCATTGTCTTGTAGCGATCTGACGGTCGAACTTTGTCGACGCGATCGTAATTCATCTCGATCGTCGAACCTGCAAACTGCTACAACCGATGCCCAGCCTTATCGCAGCTCAACCCAGCGCCCAGTCAGAATTTTTTCTCAAAACCTACGATATACGGGCAATGTGAGATCTGTTTAAGTCACTCTGCGAGGTGTCATAATTGAGTTTACGACCAACACATGGCAAGGGACAAGTCATAGCCGACGTGGTTTCGTCGCCACGGAACTGTGCACCGCAGTCGCCTGATCGTCGCACACTGGCAACAAACATTGCCACCCAAGCTCACCCCAAAAATACCCACCCCTTTTCACCGTGTACTCATGCGAAACCCTCATTTGCTTGTAGTGGAGGCATGCGAAATACTTGTGCGATTGAATCCCTGGAACCCTCAAATCTTGTGCGACTCTGACGACTTTTGTTCATACAAAAGTATTCCGCTGCGAGTTGGCAAGCCGAAATCTGCTGCAATCTCCATTCTTGTCCGTATTTGCGAAACTGTAAAAACCCCCACATGTTCACCAAGTCATGAGGTCGTTCGTGATACATGCATAGACAAGTGTCTGTGTCTCGCAAAAGTCAGCGAACTCCATAAGCGCCTTGACGAAGGACACCCGGGTCTTCAAACCTTAACATCATGTCAGTTCACCGTTCTTGTAAATACGCTCCTATTAACCAAACGATTTTAGCAGACGCCAACAAAAAATCTGAAAGTCGTCGCGAGCCATCGTTTTCGCGAAGGATTCTTATATGTAGATGCTGTCGGTCAAATTGACAATGACCGTCGACGTGTTTGAGGTCGTTGAGGAAAACTGAGAAAGAAATGCAGCACAGCTGCTCTCTCCCCCCACCTCAAAAGCAAGTCTCCCATTGTAGATGCGATAAGTACCTCTAAATTTTTAGTACACTCCCAGTTTGTGGCCGCAAACCAGCTGACACAATCCCAAATCCCGGCTTAAAAGTCGAACTCCAGCTTGATCTTTAGTAATTCCGAAAATTGCTTCAATGTCTGCAACCCCATAATTGTTTGGGTAGCTGCAATCTCCACACGTTGGGACCAGTGGCATTGCGACCCCATACGCAGGGCAACTACCCTAAATAGACAGTGGCTCCATTCGACATCGTAGATCACGATTCGGCTCGTCAAACTGCCATTGATCAGCCTTGTCCTGTTACTCGCTGCTGAATGTTTTGCAAACTCTCCTGACCGGTTCGTTGTTCAGACATTCACCCATCGCGCGGCTATGGTAGGTACTCCAGAAAAAACTCGGGAAAAGTTCTCAGTTACGAGAAATGTGTTTGCTGCAGTTTCACCGACAAACCGTGTTGGCATTTAAACCTTTGCACAGCTCGGTAGATACCCGTGAACCCTCGCTACCGCTCCAGCCAAAATTTTGAAGGATTTCCCATTCGGAATGACCCGACGTTTTAGCGACGCGCCGAAGTTCACCCATCGTTGCATCCGTCTAGGAAACTTCCGAATCAGTCCTATCCGAAACCACCGAGTATAGCCCATCATATTTGGGACACTCGCTGAAGTCTCCTGAGTCACTCCAAAATTTCCCGTGAACGGCAACGCGCTCCTCCCGCTGCAACAGAAACCCTTGATTTTACTGCTCCAACTGTTGCAAAGGTCTTCCACCTGCTTCCGAAAAGCTGCTGCTGTTTTTGCCCGCAATTTTCCCTCGCGAAAATGACGAAGCCGTTGTGGGCGTTGTCGGAATCTCACCACGCCGAAGTTCACCCATCGCCGCACCTTGGCGAAATTCGCAATACCTATTTTCTTTTTCCTTCAAAAGATCCACCAGCGCTGGGTAATCCACAAGCTCAACCCTATAATTCGTCGAGGACCGTCGGAGTATAATTAAACCTGAACTAGTGAACCTGGTGGTGGTGCTGAAAAATCGGGCGACCCAAGCAGACAGTAGGGGGATCTTGTCTTCTAGTGACTCTTCACCAGGTGTTCCTGGTCGTTCTTCTTCTCTGCTTTAGCTCTTCGACGTTGACTTTTAGTGGTGACCTGGTGATGACACCTAAAAGTTGACCCGAAGGTAGTTGCTGGTCATCCGCAGTAGATCGTGGAGTGTATTTTCTGACCAAGAAAATGGCTTCATCTGCGAGAATCCAAACTCGCCGAGCTCGAATCACCAGGGCAGACGAAATACAGCTGCAGGCAAACCTGGTGGGCAGGTCGCGCGAATCAATCCCAAGGTCAGGGCAGTGCGATTGAAATTCCTCCGTGCTTGAGCCCCACGTGTGCTATAGTGCGATCCTTGGTCGTGCCGGAAACTCTAGCGCCGAGTTTGTGAACGGTATCCAGAGCCCGTCTTCACTTACGTGTCCCCCGTCGGAAACGCTGAAAACCGTGACGCCCGGCTACAAGTTACTTTTGCAGCTGAAGATCAGCTTCGCCCGCTCCTGACGAAACAATTTTCTCGCCTGGAGATTTTCGCGAGCCCGTCGCCTCGTTGCGAGCTCCTCGCTTTTTCGTCGTCGAATCAGTTAACCAAGTCCCCACGCTTGAAATCGTGTTCGCCTCGTATCGATGACGTCAGTTGCCACACGAAATACAACCAAGGTTGATCAGTGACGAGCTCCAGGAACCCACGTGACAGCAAAATATGTCCGTTCCCGATGGGAGGGAGGATACGGTCCATCCTGATCGTCCGAAGGCAGGGATCGAGTGGCGATGGTGCGCACACGCTATCGTAGTCGTTGCAGCTAATCATATCTAGCTACAGGACAACCGTTGTGCCGCTCCGTGCCCTCCAGCCATCCCTCCTTTCCCTCCCCCTAGAAAAAAAAAAAATCCTGGGCGGCGGAAGCTGTTGCTTAGGAAAATGCTATGAATACCAGGTATTATAGGTGGAAACGGGGCCTATGTTTGTCGGATAAACACCCGGATTTCGATACTTTAATGGGTTGTTGTTTACCAGAACTCCCTTTTTGACAGATTCGGTTATCTCTGAACCCGGGGGTTAACGAGTCAAGTATGGTTAAAAAACGGGTTGTAAGCGTAGGTTTCGAGGGATTTTGGCAGAAAAACGGACTTTAACGAGTTCGAATGGGGCTGAAAACAGACTTTAAATGGGTGGCTCTGGTGGGGAACCCGGATAAGACGAGTGGCTTAAAAATCAATCTGAAGCCCTGGGTGGAAACCCACAGTAATGCGGAAGTGAATATCGAGATTCGAAATGATAGAATTACATATTGTCCTTACACACCATATTCCTATAGTGCAAACTCCAAGAATTTTGGAAGGAGGCACTTAGCGCATAGGGCGGTACGCCTCGGGTCAATTTTATTGTAGCGTTCCCAATAACGTAGGAGCGCTGTCGATGCGCAGCTGGCAGAGGCGGGGACGATGTCGTGCGCGCAGCTGGCAGGGGAGGGGACGCCGTCGTTAGCTACGACCGGGTTCACGTAGGCATGTCGCGAGATGTTCGCATGGTGTGTCCTCTTTGGGTTTCAAGTGCGAACGCTAATTGCTGTGTTGCCACAAGAACAAAAAAAGATTTGACTCCTAACTGTCAATTTATTCGACTATAGATAGATTCGAAATTATATGAAGTTGGAAACACCAAATAACAACACAACCATTTCAAAAATACAGCACACGTCTACGAGTGGGGGTACTTGGTAGAACCCCTCTGCATTCCGTCTTCGCAAATGGCATGCTTCGATTGGCTTTCGTGGTGTTTCCGCGTCAGTCCGTGAGTGGGTGGATCGCATTGATGTGAGATTTTTTGGCATTTCTGGCACATTGAGATTGCTCATGGCATGGACCACGCAGGAGCGCATCGACGTGGATCAGACGATTTCGACTGGTGGCGACAAAATTTTCACATGCTGTCTGTGTCAAACATATCCATGTACGTTGTTATACACTACACAGGGTTGTGCCTTAGAGAGTACAACCCACTAGGTTATATTCGTTTGTATACCATGGTTCTATTCATTCGTTAACTTTGATATGGTATCATGAGTAGGTTAGGTCCCCCCCGCCCACCAGTGCTTCCGCCATAGGTCCTAACCACCCCGTCGCCCTCCCGCCCGTATTGGCCCGTCCCCTAGTGGCCCCCGTCACCTAGCGCCTAACCGGCCCCGTCTCCCAACCGGCCACGTAGCCCAGCCGGCCCCGTCGCCTAGCCAACCCCATCGCCTAGCCGGCCCCGTCGCCCAGCCGGCCCCGTCGCCCAGCCGGCCCCGTCGCTCAGCCGGCCCCGTTGCCCAGCCGGCCCCGTCGCCCAGCCGGCCCTGTCGCCCAGCCGGCCCCGTCGCCTAGCCGGCTTCATCGCCTAGCCGGCCCCGTAGCCCAGCCGGCCACGTCGCCTAGCCGGCCACGTCGCCCAGCCGGCCCCCGTAGCCCAGCCGACCCTGTCACCTAGCTGGCCCCGTCGCCTAGCCGGCCCCGTCGCCCTGC